CTCACTCACTCGACTCACCCAACTCACTCCGCCACTGCCTATACTCGACAGGTCCGCCCAGTTATAAGTAGGAGTTGTGAGTTCCGTAGGAGACTAAAAGAATTCGATATGTAGACAGCAACTTTTGGAATTTACAAATAGGGGTTTGCCTAGTTTAGTATGAGCTCACAGCAAAACCCTTCGGACCAACCACAAACCAACTACCACCAGCCATCAACCACCAACCACCACCAATTGTCCGCTCCTGTGTCTGGTGAAGTTGCTGACATGTGGGGTTATCCGGTCCGATAATGTTCTTTTCGAAGCCCCTCCCAGCCCGAGACCTCCTACACTTTTAATTGAATATGTTCAAAATGTTTGCCTTTGCTGACTGGGTTGAGCGAAAACGTTTTTCTTCCCCAAACAGCTCTAGTGTGGACACACTAGGGGTTCTTGCGGTAGGGGCTAAGCACCGGTGTCTAATCGAGATGTTGAGCGGGCGTGTGTGGCTAGTTCGACACTTTGGACATGGTGGTGATCTTCAAGGCGCTCTGATTCTTCGTGACAGGCGCAGTGAATCGTGACTTTTGGACATGTGGCTTGCTTGCAGGTTTCGTGGCAGGCGCAGCACTTGAACCTCAAAGCGCAGATTTCGTGCCAGGCGCAGCACTTTGTGAACCTCGAAGTGCAGATCTCGTGCCAGGCGCAGCACTTTGTGCATCTCGAAGTGCAGATTTCGTGGCAGGCGCAGCACTCTGCAAACCGCGAAGTGCAGATTTCGTGGCAGGCACGGCACTTTGTGAACCGCGAAGTACAGATTTTGTGGCCGGCGCAGCACTTTGTGAACCTGGAAGTACAGATTTCGTGCCAGGCGCAGCACTTTGTGCACCTCTAAATGCAGATTTCGTGGCAGGCACAGCACTTTGTGAACCTCGAAGTGCAGATGTTGTGGCAGGCGCAGCACTTTGTGAACCTCAGAGTGCAGATTTTGCGGCAGGCGCAGCACAGTGTGCTCTCAGATGCTCGCTCTCACTGGCCCTCTCTCTCACTTTCAATTCCGCTCTCCTCACACTCACACACACGCTCATGCTCACGCTGACACTCACACTCACTCTCGCTCAAGCTCACACTCATTCGCTCACTCGCTCACTCCCTCACTCTCACACCCTCACTCTCTCACTCTCACTCTCACTCACACACGCTTACGCTCACGCTCACATTCACTCTCACTCACACTCACTCTCACTCGCACTCACTCTCACTCACACTCACTCACACTCACATTCACTCACACTCACACTCACTCACTCTCACTCTCTCACTCACACTCTGACTCTCTCACCACCGCCGCCACCATCACCACGATCTCCACCTTCATCACCACCGTCACCTCTCTGGACCCCAATGTGTCTAGATCTCTAGACTTTCTGCTACTGCACCTCCAGACCTCACACACACTGCTTGGGGTCTCTTGCCGGGATAATTTTTGAGGTTTCATCAAGTTCCTTGGCTGAACCCATCTGTGATCGTCCTGTTCAATAAAGGCTTCTGTTCCCGCCAGGCCCCGGCTCCAAGTAAAACCCGGGGTCCAGCGATCAGGTCGTACTGTAGAGCTTCGATGAATACAGTAACCCCCCCATACATGGATCATGTATGATAATGTGCATTTTTTGTTTAACACGAGTCGTCTTTTGACCGGACCCAATGCAACGAGGTCAAGACCACTGGCGCCTCATGGATCTTCACAGCATCAGACTGCCGCGCACATTCGGCATACCTTTTTCAAAGGAGAAGAGTGGATGTCAGGCAAAAGGTCTTCTGCATCCATTGCCCAATTTTTTGGATGGGGCCGATACCAACTCCCTCAGTTTCCTTGGAAAAGAATGGTTTAACCTTGTTCCACCTTTTCTTGTTTAGTGGTGAAACCAAACCCGGAAAAAAGGTTTTGCAGGTTATCCACTGACTGGGTCGGAATAAACTCTTCCTTAGATACCCTTAGCTTAGGTATTCATGAACCATATTTACGGATTTCAGATCCTTTTCCTTTTGCTCCAGTCCTGCAGTGCTGACATGAAAAACCACTGATCTCCCAGATGGTGTCCGAGGTTCCCAAGTGAGGCTGGTCGACCCTGAAGGACCCGAATTGGGGCGTATGGGCCATCGCAACTCGGAGGTGTTCGGTGACACCAAGGAATCGACCACGGGACCTACCATGTCCCAACTCAGGATATTCTACACACTGCATGACCCTGACACCTCACTGAAAAGCCACTGCCCACCCAGACCATCCGCTTGGATTTGCTGTTCAGGAGCTGGGAAACAGATTCTTATCCAGAATGGGAAGCAAAGCCAGGTCCATGTATGGAAGATTTTGCCTACGTGGGGGGTGTGCTCTGTTTTTTTTTCCAATTGGAGTCACTCTATCCCAGTTCCATGGAGTCAAAGCTTTCTCGCTCCGCGGCGCTGGATGGATCCCTGATAGTCCTTCCGAAGCTGTCGTGCCTCAAACGCGGTGGATTCTCCACGGATACGATCCACCTCCAACAAGCAAAAGAAGCTGGCGGACATGAGCCAAAACCTGCCAGACAAGCTGAAGAAAAGAAACCGCCTGAAGGGGGAGAAAAAAAGAACGCAAACGGCCAGAAGATGACAGAACATGCTTAGTTGGTCAGCAGATGCCGATGCATGGAATCAAAGTGTCCGAACATTCACACATCCAACCAAAATTCCAAGAAACGAGTTTGAACATGTTCAATAAGCCATCTGCAGTGCTGTTAGCAAAAACAAACCAACACA